AGGGCTTTACTGTTCTCAAGCAAGGTAGTTGCTTCCCCGCGAGATAGAAAGCCATAAACGAGGAAAGAAGGCGGGAGGAAGAAAGGGAGGTGCGGGAGGTGCGGGAGTGGATTTGCGACACCCGATTGGCGGGTTGGCGAGCCCTCGAGGTGGGAAGGTGGTTACTTCCTGTTGCGTTTGTTGCTTGCTGCATGAGTGAATACGGCTTTTGTTGTGCGGGGTTGGAGGTGACGATGACGGTCCTGGTATGCAATGACGTCGACGTCCCAGCAACTTCGATTCCATGGTATCGTTGGACCTGAGAGGGCGGGTGGGTAGAGGTCGACGACAGTGCTGTGGAGTATAGCGAAGTGGTTGAGTGAAGAGGTGTGACACCAGGAAAGGCATGACGAAAAGGAAATGTCGATAGGTCACCCCAATTTGAGTGCAAGATCATGCATGAATCAGAGACATTGCTCTTGCCATGTTCTTCTGTCTTTCTCAGAGCAATTACGATTGGAGACGCCGCTTCATAACTGATGGCAGATACGAAAATAAGTCAAAGAACTATTGCAAACCCTTTGTGCTACCTACCTGACCCGTTTATACACTTTGGTAGAGGAAGGAAAGCTGGGTATTGGTGTAAGACATCATTGACGCTACCTTAGGTAGGTAGCTGGATATTGAGCTACGTGATCTCTACTCTCTCTTCACTCTTCCCTATTATACCACATTTTGCACAGAGACAAGGGTTCTTATGCAGCTTTCAACGTAATTCCCTACCTCTTTTTTTTTCATTATTTGACTAAGAAGCATTGCAGACTCACAATCAGCTCTAACAGATCATGCCAGAGTTGCAGATCTCACGGTATTTGATAGATGAAAAACAGAAGGACATTCAAGGTGGAAAATGTGTAAAAAGGTAAAGGACGAAGAAGGGAAAATAGAGAAAAAGACAAAAAAAGAAAGTAGCAGGGCGCAAAAAGAACAAAGGAGAAAAAAATATATAAGCAAGTAGCAATTGCACGTTTCGATCGTGCGACCTCCGGGTTATGAGCCCGGCGCGCTTCCACTGCGCCAAATTGCTTTTCACAAGACTCGCTCGGCGGCTTCGAGGCCGCGCTAGATGGGATGGATGGGGCCGGCCGTCAACCCAATTATAAACGTTGAGCTTGACAACAGCGGAAAACAAAAAAGCTTCCTCGATGGAGCAAAAAGCTTTGCATTAGAACGTTCCTTTGAAACATTGATGAGAAATACCTACCCAGCATTATGTAGGTCCTTTGTATTATCCAAAGAATTCTGCCTACCTTATGCTTCTTCTCTTGCTTTGCAGTTTCTCTTTGTAGTTTCTTTGGGTTACGAAGGGGGTGGGAAGTGGCGTCAGAGATCAATTTACCTATGTACTATCTTTGTTACAACTATTTGAGCAAATGCACTCGGCATGCTGAACATGAGGATATATGCGCTGCCACAGTCTTCGTCTAGTTCAACTGCATCTGCCTGAAATCTTATACACCAGCCAAGCCCCACAGTGCTTTCCAGTCAAAATCTTCGCCTATCGGGGCTACCAAAGAAGAATGTAAAACAGTCGTCATTCTCGCGCGAACTTTATAACTCAGCTGATCGCCATAACAGAACATCAAGAGAACTTGTCGAGTTGCACATCCCGTTCGCTACATGGACAGACTGATCAAATTGATTACTTTGGGACCGAAAATGATAAGAGACGAAATGAGAAGATTTAGGTATCACTGATGAAGGAAAATATGTGTGTCCACCAATCCTTCCTTTAGCCCAAAAAAAAGGACCTCCGATCCCCTCCCTCCTTGTCCTCCTCCTCCTCCTCGTTTAGTCACTCTGGAAAAAAGAAAAAAGACAAAAGTCTTTCTGATGATATCAACAACATCAACCCCCACATACAAAACAAAACAAGGAAACTCAAGCAGGCTGCCTCCTTCTCGTCCATCCAAGTTCTTGCAACAGCCCGCCCCTTCTCCTATTCCACCACAGCCCTCGAAACCAACTGGCTATGGTAGACCACAATGTAAAAAGAGAATACAATCAAATCAATGACAAATACAAGAGTTTAGGTAGATGGAAAGAAATCAACGGAAGAGTGGCATGCCCCCGCTAGATGTATATGTGTGTACCGAGAAACGCGAAGAGATATAGCGTGAGAGGAATTTGTTGCCAATGGATAAAATGAAGGTGAAGCCGTAAAATGCCATAATCATGCATGAAGAGGGGGGAAAACCGAGTGGACTCCGGCAGCCCTATACCGAAGGCGTCAACACTGTAAGACTGGTCGAACCGGAGATCGAGACTCGGACTGCTGTATATGGTGGTGGTGGTGGTGGTGGTGGTGATGATGATGGTGACGAGTAAGCGATAAAGCGACAAGAATGATAAACACTGGCCGAGAGACGAAAAAGAGCGGTATCAGATGAGCAACCTGGAGAAGAGCAACGTGTTAACGGACCCACACTGCGGTGCAATGTAGTGTGATGATGAATTTTGTGAAAATACGTTAGGAGCTTTATAATATTAACTTTTTGAGGTTTCTCTGAATAATCATGTCTTGCACGGAGCCCATTGTGATTTTCAGCAGATTTGTGTCCGTGGCATTGGTAAAGTGCCCGTAGATTTCCTTTTCGGGGTTCCTGCTCAGCGCGCGGAACTTGTCGAGGAAGTACTTGCTGGCTGCCTTGTAGTCGTCGTCGGGCCCGTGGTAGTCGGTGAAGCCGTACTTGGAGATGGGGCTCTTGGGGAGCTTCTCCTTGAAGAGATCCATCTTGTTGAGAAAGAGGATCAGAGAGGTCATGGTGAACCAGTGAGAGTTGGCAATGGACTCCCACAGCATCAGAGCCTCGTTCATTTGGTTCTAGGGTGGTTTCATGTTAGCTCATTGACAACGCCAGGGTGTTCATGATATCCCGATCCCATCCACTTACACCGTCCTTGTCTTCCACGAGGCACTGGTCATAGCCACTGATGGCAACGAGGAAGAGCAGGCAGTTGACGTTCTCGAAGCAGTGGATCCACTTCTTCCGTTCTGACCTCTGGCCACCGACATCAAACATGCGGTATGTCAGCTGGCCAAGGTCAAAGACGGTTTCTGTGATACCTGTGGTCCTCAGACGAGAGCGCAGCAGATCCTGGTCATTCGGTACATAACCCTCAGCCCATATCCGGTC